AGGTGATAATCAACACCTTGAATTGAGTCCGGAGACCAATAGGCAGCCAGTGCAGCTCACGGAGGATAGGTGTAACGTGGGTGTACCTTGCCACACCCACTAATATATAATTGCAATATAATTAAAAATGACAATAAAAAGTTATTTTATATGAAAATATGTATACCATATGAAAATATAACACACCATATTTTTTCAGTCCAAGTGATTAATTTAAATTTAAATTCTGCCATTTACAGCTGTGCATTGCAGTGAACTACAGCCTCCAGCTAATGGCTCCATGAGCTGCTCTGGTCCTTATGGAAATTCTGCCTGGAATTCAACCTGCAAGTTTGCTTGTGAAGAAGGATTTAAACTGAATGGATCCAGTGAACTCCAATGTGATGCTTCTGGAAACTGGGATGCATCACAGCCAGAATGTGAAGGTACTTTCTTATCTTAGTTCCTACAATATTGTTTTCCTATGGGACATATTTCTTAATGTAGTGAATTGGTCCATTTATCACCAAAGTAAATTGTTGTATGAGACTGCAAAACAAGATGGCTGCTGAGGAGTAAGGGCCTTTTTTACTCATGATCTGCTGTGTTTGCTGCCAGAGCTGTTTCTTTGGCAGTCTTGTCCCCTGGATTTGAAAGGAAGCATTTAGGAATGACCCAAGGTGGCTTTTGGATAGCTGTGAACCCACCCAAGGTGGGGAATCTTGAAGATTGCAGCTCCTTGTGGGAGCAGCTGCAAAATCAATGGGCACTTACATCTCTTCCTATCAGTAGAATATGATCATAAGCATCCCTATAATTTTTAAGTTCACTTTTTGAACTTTTGTTTTTGTTATTATCTTTAAGGAAAATTTGTTGGCTGAATGCTGATTTTATATCAACCCCGGCTGGATTTTTTTTGTTTTCTTTTTTGTTTTCTTTCTTTAATTTATTGATTTAATCAAAAAATTTCTTTCCATGACTTTATATTTGTATTTAATTAACCTGCATATCTTTTTGGATCTGTGGGAAGTTATCATCCAGCCCTCTCCCAGAAAAATGAAATATCCTAGGAAATATTGAAAAGGCAGAATATTTCTCTGGATGTGAAAA